CCGAGTGCTGGGATTAAAGGCGTGTGCCACCACCGCCCGGCCTTATATTTACTTTTGAGCAAAGATATTTATAATTCTGAAATATTTAAGTAATATTCTTTTGCTGAAAACTTCATCTCCAAAGGATTCTTTTCTTCTTTTTGGTCAGTGATTCAATTACTTATATTAAAGCAACAAATTTTGTTTGATTGGTTTTTGGTGGGGAGTTTGGTTTAAAAAAATTTTAAGATTTATTCATTTTTTAAAATGTATATGGATGTTTTGTCTGCATATATGTCTACACATCAAAAGAGGCTTTCAGATCCCATGGGACTATGGGTATGGACGGTTCTGAGCTGCCATGTGGGTGGGTGCCGGGAATTGAACTCGGGTCCTCTGGAAGAACAGCCAGTGCTCTTAACCACTGAGCCATCTCTCCAGCCCCCCAAATTTTTTAAATGAGATGATACTTACCTGCAAGGGCCTGTACTGGGTAAACAGCCTGTTCCCAACAGGTCTCCTCAGCAGGACTTGTGGACAGACTGTGTTCATCATCCAGCTGGAGAACAAACCAAACCATAACAGCATCCAGCAGGCCTTCTTTAACAGCAGGAATGCTGAGAGGATGCGGCTCTTTAGCTGCAAAGACCCTTTAATTCCTGAATAGAAATGTAAAATGGGTAAGAAAACAGAGTTTAGGAAACTAGTAAGGAGACAAAAAATGTAAATAATAAAAAAGAATGAGAAGGTTTTATAAATGGAATATGTGTTTCCCTCAATGTCATACCTGAAACCAATTCTTAAAGTTCACAGTCTTTGTTGTTCGAATCTCAAATGATCTTATAATAAAAAAAAAAAAAACAAAAACCCTGAGCCAGATATTGGAGTGAAAGCTGAAAGATCAGAGAAGCAGAGCAAGCCACAGCCAACCTCACCTCACCAACTCCACGAATCCTCTGACTGTATGCCTCTTCGTCCTCAGCTGAAAAAAAAGCCTTTAGTTCCTGTCTCCTCACACCTTATATACCTTTCTCCACCCACCCATTAAAGGCTATGTGTGCTTCCCAGTACTGGGGTTAAAGGTGTGTGCCACCACTGCCTGGCTCTGTTTCTCTCCTAGCCTGAGTCAATCTCATGCAGTCCAGGGTGGCCTTCATGGATCTCTGCCTCCCAAGTGCTAGTATTAAAGGTGTGTGCCACCATTGCCTGGCCTCTATGTTTAATCTAGTGGCTTGTTCTGTTCATTGATCCTCAGTCACTTTTATTAGGGTTCACAATATATCACCACCAGTCTCGCCCTGCCCAGTTAGGGAGTCACAGAATATCATACATCTGCTAAACATGCAGCAGACACATACACACACTCCTGATGAAAACACACCAGTGACGTGGTGCTGGAAGACAAAAACATGCAGCAAAGAACGGGGTCATTTTATTCGGGAAAAGTACTCAGGTGCACACGCACACATACGGAGAGAAGAGCAAGCCCAGAACACACTTTAAACAAGCGATGCAGGAAGAGACACCATTTCAAAAGGTGACACTGGGGCCTTTACATTTCTGTTCTGTCCTCCTTCAAAGTGTTAAACACACAGACACTGTTTTTAAAGCCAAAACCTTTACAGGGTGTGTGTGGTGTAAGGAAAAATTCAAATAAAAACTATTAAAATAAATACAAGAACAGCTGTGGGGAACTAACAGCCACACTCGCACTACTCCTGGGACCACTGTGTCTGGTCAGAAACGACCTTAGAACCCAGGACTCTCGACGTCGCAGAACCAAACTTAAAACAGCTGCACACCACCCTCGAGAAAGGGGACCTAAAGGGGAAGCTTCAACTCCATTTTCAAGTTCATGCTGAAGCACCCTTCGGTCTCCTGCCACCCCACCTCACAAGGGCGCAACTAGAACACCTGTCACGAACACCATTCTTTCTTCAAGACGTTAGAAGGGATGTACTTTACAGTTCTCTAGGGGCACTTTCCGCACATCTTCCTATCACCCCAACACACGCACACACAAACCAGGGCGGTCCACCTGGCGGCTCCTCAGGCCTGCTCTGGCTTTAAAAGGCAAACCCAGCAGGAAGTGCAGCTCGGCAGTACAGAGCCTTGTCTAGCATGCGCCAGGTTCTAGGTCCAATCCCTAGCATCCCCAAAACAAAAGACCTAAATGTCTCTGTCTCAGGAGTCCTTCAGCCCTTGGTGAAATGGGATATGCCATTTCCCTAACACAATGGTTCTCAACCTTACTAATGCGGTGACCCTTAATACAGTTCCTTACGTTGTGGTGACTCCCAACCATAAAATTATTTTCATTGCTACATCTTAACTGTAATTTTGCTACTGTTATGAAACGTCATGTAAATATCTGTGTTTCCCGATGGTCTTAGGTGACCCCTGTGAAAGGGTCATTCAACCCCTCTCCAAGGGGTCGTGACCCACAGGCTGAGAAACACTGTTCTAACAACTTTAATTTGAAATTTAGATTATTAGGTTTAGATTATTGCTCCTTTTAAGGAAAAGGATTAATTTGAGAAAACAGCATGATAAAGAGAAAAATAAAGATCTACGCTGGAACTTTTGCCTCTGCACTTACATACATGATAACATGGCAGAATGTATCCCTGCAAGCAGCTTCATCTAAAGAGCACACACACCTTACTTCTGCTGTCACAGTGAACGTTCGTGTAGAGCACACGGCACGGCACGGCACAGACTCTCCACAGACTCTAGAGAGCTTTTCCCATGCATTCAAAAAGAATTTTTCAAACGGGAATTTTAATTTGCTGCTAATCATTTCTTCATAAGTAGAACTTAATGTACATTCAAACAGTAAGACACAGCTGGGCAGTACTGGTGATGGCGCACACCCTTGACCCAGCACCCACTCAGGAGGTGGAGGTAGAGGCAGGTGGATCTCTGAGTTCGAGGCCAGCCTGGTCTACAGCATGAGTTCCAGGACAGGTCTGCACAGAGAAAGCATGTCTTGAAACAAAATAAAACAAAAAGTAACACTTCGAAAGAAAATAAAAAAAGTAAGACTTCATATATTACCTGAAACAATTTAGGATATTTTAAAAATTCTTAAAAGTAAGAATTAAGGGCCGGGCATGGTGGCACATCACAGAGGCAGGCGGATTTCTGTGATTTCTAGGCCAGCCTAATCTACAAAGTGAGTTCCAGGTCAGCCAGGGCTGCTAAACAGAGAAACCATGTCTGGGATGGGGGGTGGGGAAGAGAGTAAGAATTAACTTCTTGATTTGTTTTACCTGAAGACTGTTGAAATCCACTTTCATAATTTCAAAGCACTCTGTCAGAGGCAAATACCCTCCAGGGACCCTACTCATCTTCTCCGTTGTGTACGGTTCAGCTGCTTCTCCACTATCCACAGCAGAGTAGGCTGGGCTCTGAAACTTCACATTTGCTGGTAAATGGACACCAGCAATGTCCTTAGTGCCCACCCTGGTGAGAGTGTAAGAAAAGGAGGTAAAAGATGGGTTCTTTAATTATCAACATCATTATCTTACAGTTGAGAAAGTATAAATATAAAAGTGAAGTAAGACCCCAAAGCCACAGATTTCTTCAATTGTAAACATACACGATCACATGAAGAAAATATGATAGTCTATATTAAAATGAACAACTTTGTAGGACTGAGAGATGGTTGCTGTTCTTGCAGAGGTCCTGACTCCCAGTCTGACTCGCAGCACACACCACCTGTAACCCCAGCCCCAGGGGATATAACACACTCTTATGTCCTACAGACACCACATACACACGGCAGACAGTCACACAAACACACGTGCATAAATAAAAACTGGAAAACTTTAAAAAGGAAAATATTTAGAACACATATTCAACAAACGATTCATATTCAAATGTACACTTGAATTCCAACAAGTTAATAGAAGTTAATCAGATTTGAGTGTTTTCACTCGACTTACCTTTGGTTGCAGAAGTAAATGTTCCCATGCATGAATTAAACTCTCCACAATTCCTTCTCAAAACACACCTGCATCAACAGTTTCTGTTACAACTAGGGACACTCTATAGAATGATGTTTTAAAGATACATGTAAGTAAAATGACATGCTATTTATATAAAGCTGTCAAGACATGAGAAAAAGGCAAACATGTTACAGAAAATCTCTATGTAAACTTTCCTGATACATTTTATTTTAGTATCTTCCCCTGAATCCTGAGGTGTTCCTTGGGCTCCTCTCTTCTTCATCAGCTCCCTTTCCTTAATCTAGGCATAAAAGGGTTGCCTTCTCAGACTCTCATTCCCTGCCTAAGTCCTTAAGAGTAATTGGTACCCACATCTTTACTAGTCCCTTCCTTAACATCAAACACTGAGTTCTAACACCCCAGACAAATGTTTTTCTCCCAACCAGAACTTGGGATGTGGAGACAAGAGGATCAGGCAGAAGTTATCTTTGACTATGTTGTGGGTTTGAAGCTAGCCTGGGCTACATGGAACCCTGTACTAAAAAAGCAAAAGCAAATCAAGGAGGGAATACATCCAGATTCTCTACCATCAATGACCCTTCTCAAAATGAATTTTTGTTTTGTTTTTGTTTTTTGGAGACAGGGTTTCTCTGTGTATTCCTGGCTGTCCTGGAACTCACACTGTAGACCAAGCTGGCCTCAAACTCAGAGATCCTCCTGCCTCTGCCTCCCAAGTACTGGGATTAAAGGCGTGTACCACCCCACCAGGAATGAATTTTCTTTTTCAGCTTCCTTTTAAACATGTTTGTTTTGTGTGTGAATACATGTACATACTCTTTCTGTGGGTACAGGTGTACCATAATGCACATGTAGATGTCTGAGATGGTTCTCTCCTTCTATCTTGTGTGTGAATACATGTACACACTCTTTCTGTGGGTACAGGTGTACCATAATGCACGTGTGGATGTCTGAGATGGTTCTCTCCTTCTACCTTGTGGGTTTGAGG